TCTCTTTTATTCAGTGAATAAATAAGAGATAGAAAACAATGTTCTGCAATTGACACTGTTCTCTCAGTTGTTTATGATATTCAAATAGCAAAGCATGATGATCTGGTCTCAACTGCAGTTTTTATTGATATAAAAGAAGTATTTGATCATGTTTTAAAGTCAAAGTTAATTCAGACTTTGAAGATATTAAAACTATCACTTTCTCTAATAAAATGAATTAACTGTTTTATATCTAAAAGAATCATACAACTTTTCTTTGATGAAATGAAATAAGACAAGACTGAGATAAAAATAGAAGTACTGTAAGAATCTCTAATCTCACTTATTTTATTTGTAATATACACTGTATATCTATTCAAAAATAGAAATATGAGAATAGTACAATCTCTGAGTTATATGAATGATATTGATCTAGTCTACAGCTCAAAAACTATTAAAGAGAATTTGAAAGTAATTGAAGAAGCTGTAAAGAAAATCTTTATTAAAGCAGATATCAATCAAATTCAATTTAATATGAATAAAACTGAGTTAATTCATTTCTTTCATAGATTCAATGAGAAAGAACTATCTCTAACTCTTTTAAATAGAGAGATTAAACCCAGTGTAAATGTCAAATAATTAGAAGTATGATTAAACTCTAAGTTGAATTTTAAATATCACATTCAACAAAGAACTCTCAAGACAGAAAGACTATTGAATAACATAATTAGACTATTAAATACAGAGAGAGGTCTATCCTTTCAGACTATGAGATAGTTATATATAGTCTGTATTATCTCAGTAGCTGATTATGAAGTTTAAGTTTAATGAAATAATCAAGAAAATTTCACTGAACTCTTTCAAAGTCTGTAAAATAGAGCTTTGAGAAGAATTCTGAGAGCATTTAAAACATCTTCTATTAAAGCAATGAAAATTGAAGCTTCAATTTCTTCTTCTGCTATTAGATTTGAAAAGACCTGTATAAACTATGCTCTAAGAGATATAAAGATAAGCTTAAATTATATAATCAGAGAAAGAGTCTCTTCTTCATTTTAATTAATTAAGTCTGGAAATAAACTGAATTGAAATAGATATCTTAATTGAAATGAAAATAATTCTTCAAAGAAAATGCTCTCTCAACTATACAGACTATGCTTACTGATTAAAAATCAATTTTCTTCTTTAAATATTGAAAAAGTTAATCATGAGAAGATATCTCTCTGAAGAGAAAAGCTTGAATCTCTCATAGACTTGTAAATAAGTGAACTATCTAAAGAGAGAGAATATGAACAGCATTTGAAGAGAATTTCTACAATTAATATAAAAGACTCTATTCTGATCTATTCAGATGACTTAAAAAATGAGAATTTGAATATATTAAGTGCAGACATTGCTTACACTGAAGATAATATCAATTTTATCTCAGATTTCTGAAATTTGAACTGTGAATCTGAAGTCTTTGATACTGAACTATTTGCAATAGTG